CAATGGACAGTTTCGAAGGCTTAGCCACTGCTACGGATTGCTATTACTTTTGCGAATGCCAATTTGCATTTGGCAGAGTTGGCCAAAAACCAAACAAACTGCAAACAATGCCAAAGGCCGCTTACAAAATGCTAGAATTATGACATTTAATTAGCGAAAATGAATCTTTTTTAAGCTCTGGCTCTACCAATATGCCGGGGGGTGTATGGAATTAGCGCCGGAATTGGGGAATCGACGCCTAATTAGCGCATTGTTGCACTTCCACCAAAAATAATGCCAGGCAGCAAAGCAAATGCCAAAAAGCGATTACAGTCGCCATTCAGTTGGGGATATAGATATGGGTATAGCCAATGCACACTGCCATATATAAATGTATATTAATGCCGAATAATGAAAACATTCAATCCGCGGCCGGGGATTTGCAACCTGGACAACGGATTTCCGGTTACAGTGGTCTCTGGCTTATCGGTGCCGCTATTCCAGAATCTCTTTTAAAATGGGGAACTATTTTATAGAAATCCATAGAAATAATTTAATTTACTAATTACTGTTAATTACAATTTGTTATTGTGGATAATTAATTTCTAAAAGTTTTGACATAAGCAGGATTGATTTCACTTTAACTACTGAAAAGGATGACTAAATATTTGTATTTAATTTTTTATTTGTGTCTTTATTTTAGTCAGCAATATGCTCTCACTTATTTTATTATAGTTAAATAACAAACAAGGGAAGGCTGTTTTAATAACTTTGGAAATCAATTGATGTATCAGTTTCCTCTGGGTAAATCACGTTTGAATTCTACTCTCTCCGCAGGGATTTCTTCAAGTGAGCTGAGAGTAAACACAAGTGACGTCAGTCGCCCGAGATGACAATTCCTGGGCTTTGGCTTTGGCTTTTGCTGTGTTGCCGGTTTTCACCGTCACCTGAGTCGAGGAATCCGAGTTCGAATCCAAATCCAAATCGGGAACGGGAACGGTAAAAACAGGAGCTGCAGCTGAGAAGGACGAGCAGAAGGACGAGGAAACTTGCGGTGCACTTTGACATTTTGGCGCATGTTGAATCAAGTGAAAACCCAATTACATGTCCCGCCCTATCTAGTCGCTTCACTGGCGACAAAACGAAACGTGCAGACAAGTTAACATTCTGGCCAACTTTGCCAGCAGTCAGGAGCCAGAAACCCACCCACTCGCCCAATCAACCCATGCAGCCACCCATCCACCCATCCACCCACTTGGTGTCCTTGTGCTCGCTGGTTATTACAAGAGTGGCGAACATTTTGTGGCCAGGTGTCTGTGGGCGTACAGGTGAGTATCTGTGGGCGGGCACACCTGTGCATCCCTCTATATATATGTATGCTACATATAGCCAAAGCTACAGCTATCGCATCTCCCAAACGTCCCGCACGCAAATTATTGTTGCAATGAAACTTAAGCTGCTTAAACTTACCGGAACGCTTTCCTTTTGGCCAACCGATGATGGAGACATCATCGCCCGTGTTTAACCTGATTTGCGGGGAAGCGTGTGGCTCCCGTTTCCCCGCCCTTCGGGGGAGCAAAATTGAAAAGCTTAATGGATTACGAGTCAGAGATTAACTGGCTATTTAAAGGTCCACGGAAATCGCCGGTGTTGCAAAACAAATCCCCGATAAATGGCGGCTAAATCCAAATCACTTGGACTGCGGAAGTTCATGTTAACTTTCCTGTTTACGAGGAAAATCTTCACTTGGAAACTGACCTTAAATAATGCCTGGAATGGTAGAAGCAAAAAAAAACTAGCAAGTCGAAGCTTATATAACCTGGCAGATCGTTTTTATTAGCTATGTAATTTATAAGATCTAAGTAGAAGAAAATATGATCAAAATCATAAAGCTATTACTATGGTGGTAGAATATACATAGGTCGGAACCATCCGGATCTCAAAGCTCCCATAAGAAAATAAAAAAAACAGTTAAATTAAGTTGTTTGCATTTAATCGGCGATATAAATAGCTGGATGGAAGGGTGCTACCTCAAGGAAACGGTCCCTCGGCTGGGAACAAAACGATGTCCGAGATGCGACTCCAATCTTCGAATTCCATCCATTATGTGCTATATTCGGATATATAGGTAATGTCAGCCACAGAAATTACGAATAACAATGACGTACCGTTTGGCCGGAATCACTTTCCAGCTTCTCTCTTAAACTGGTCTATGACGTCCGCTCGGAAGTTCGCCAGGAACTGCTGGCCAATCTCCACCAGCTCCTCGTCATGGGGGTTTTCCTTTCGACCAGCTTCAACCATTTGCTTGATCTTCTGTTCCAGGACTAGGACCTCTGTTATCCGTTTAAACTCCCGATTCTTGTTATACAAAGATGGCAGATTATAGAAGACGTAGATGAGCGCCACTAGCATTGGTCCGACCGCGAAAATAAGAAACTGGATCATTTTGTAACGACTTAGTTAAAGCTGACGACCTGACTGGACGAATACGAATGTTCTAGTGTCGACTAGAAGGAAAAGTCAACGGCCTACCTTTTTTGTAGTGAGCTTGAAGTTAAAAGCAAAAGCCTACTAGATATGTTTGTGAGTATTACGTTACGTTACTAGGTTTATCGATAGTCGGGTCACCCGACTATAGCGTTCTCTCTTTTTTTTTGTGAAAAATTGTGATCTGGGTTTTTGGTAAAAATTTGAAATTTTCCTCTTTGTTTTTTGACTGTAACTCGGCCAAAAATGGTCTTAAACCAAAAATACATGCTGTTTTGAACAGATAACAAAATAATAAATAAATGCAAGCCACTTTCCTGGTGATCTTGAAAAAATAAAATCTTTCGCCAATTTTCAATTTTTTTATAAGGGGGTACATCATGATTTTTTGCAAAAAATTAAAAATAAATAAAATGTCAAGGTTTAAATGCCAATCGTTAGGAAATTTAATAACGATTTCAGAAAGGTATGACAATCCATATTTGGATAAATATTTCCTTTGTTTCGGTAAAAAAACGACGTTTAAAAATGTAATCCAAGAAATTGGTTTCCTCAAAAGTGATCATAGAACACTTAACACTTAAGATTATAACAACCATACCCCTTGTTAAACAAGTTAACTACCTTTAATCTCTTTATGGGCCAAATAGGAGAATGGAAAACGTGAGAAATAAAAAATAATAATAATAATAAAAATCACTGAATGTTCTCGCTGAACATGGCCAAAATGTTAGATTCGCCCGTCGCGACGGACAAGTTCGAATAAATCATTGTTAATTTACAAACGCCCCGTTGATGGCCTGACAATTTTCGGCTGTTTGCGATTGTTGGGCGAAAACCATGACGAGGACAAGTGGCCATCCGATCCCTGCTAATTAGGCCCAGAAATGTGCCATAAAATAAATGGCACAAATGCGAAATTAAATGGCCGACGAGGCCAAAGGACATGCGGCCATTTGATTGATGTCCTGATGGCCGCCGTTTCGCTTTCGGTTTTCAGTTTCTATGTCTATGTTTCTGTCTATGTCTGTGGCTTTTCCGCAACAGATTGTGTGTGCTATTTTCTATTTTCTATTATTATATATAACTTTTTCCCCCTTGCCTTTCGCTTTTGCTCTCGCTTTTTGTTCCATTATTAGTTTCATATTAATTCTTTTTTGGGTGCATCACATACAATCGATCTCTCCTTAGATTACCTTAAGCAGAGATTAATATAATGTATAATATTATAAAATACTTTTTTAAGACCTGAGCTGAACCATTCATTTTAATAACTGGTTAGCTCTTTTTATGATTCGATATTTTGCTTATTTTCTAAGCGCTCCTTTAAAGTTAACAAACATCCTTTAAACGATTCCCTAAGTGTTTTTTGCAATTATGGTGGGCACAAAAAAAACGCTGCATCGTTTAAACCCGTATTAAATTCATCCAGTCAAACGACTTCACACTAGATTACCCCGAAACGCAATCCGATACTTTGAAGCCCAGTCAGTCGACGGGGGGTGAATCCTTTCCCGCTGCCTTTGTCATTCATATCAATTTCGCATATTTTACGGCTGGCAAATGAAGCCATTCGCAAAACGAATGAATATGGCCGGAATCAGGGGGATATGGGGGATATGCAATAAGTAGGGCACAAGGGGTTACTTTTTTGCGTAGGCTCCTCGGCAAAATCAAATTGGGTCTCAGTCTCATCTAATGCAAAGTAAACAAATCCAATTGGATGCGGAAGTGAAGACAGGTTCAACCAGGGCTGATTTTATTCTCTGGCAATTTATGGGCTTTAGAGATTCCCGTGAAAATGGTAAAGAAAAATCTAAAAAGGCTTTAAAAATATTTATAAAATACATGTCAATTAAACATTCGATATACTACATTTTGTACCGCAATTTAAGTATGCTGTAATGTAATAACTACCGCAAACTCAGCTGCGGTCCACTCAACAGCGATTCGGAGGGCGAATCAACCAAGTCCACGACTAATCCGTAAATTACTCCCAATTTTCGTTGAGAACTCGGCATTATCCCGGCAGGAATTGCGTGAAACACGGCTGCCGCAGCAGGGATTATAAGCAGGCGGCTTAAGCAGGACCGAAAAAAAAGCAGGGAAAAAAGGGGCTGAAACAGAAACAGAAAAGCCCCGGCGCTGAGATGACGACACCTTTGCGGCTGACCCGCACGGAGAGCGCCAGTTTTCCATCCCTGCCAACAGGGCGTATTATGCGCTCACACACGACGCGCTGGCTGAGTTGATTACGTATACGCAGCGATGGCCCGTGAGTTGATTACGACGCACTGGCGGGCGAAATGTATGCCAAGTAATTTGCATAAACCGCGAATCGGACGGAATCGCCCGCAGACAGACATTCGTTGACACAGATGATCGGCATCAAAGGAGGCGCGAATATCCAGCCGAGTATGCGAATATAATGAAGACTGCTTGGCGTTGCCATAGTCCTCAGAGAAATTCCCCACCCCCTCAAAAAAAAGGGTTATCGATTTGCTAGCTTCTTATAAAAAAAAACTCTATCAATGAGCAGTCAGGCGGCCGATCAGGCGCCCAATATCCGTGACCCCGAGTGCTGGCTAAGACATCCGATCTCCGCCGAGGACACGATGATCCGACTGGCTTTGAAGTACGAGACCAGCATAGGTGAGCTGTGCCGGGCCAATCGGATGCATTGGCAGGACGTCCTGCAGACACGTCACCACATCTGGGTGCCGCTAGCCACTCGGAGAAATCGAGACCAGGAATGCCAGTCGATCCCCGCCTTTGCCAGCCCCACGACCTTGCCGCCCCATTTTTACCGCCAAAGTGCTCCAAATCCCAATCACTTGGCCGCCGAGGAAGATCCCCTGCTGATCACCACCAAAATCAAGTAGAGGTAGCCTCATTTCACTAGAAAACTGCCGCAACACAGAGAGAAAATATGCACTAAATTCATTCATTGTGTGCCGTATACATTTTAATACAATTAAGCAAGGCTTATTAGGCCAATATTTCTTAAGAGCACCAACACAGTTTGCCTGTTTTTTCCACTGCTCAGAACTTTTCACTCTCCATTTTGTCAGCAACCTTTATCCTTCAGATACAGCATCCTTTTTGAGCTCGGTTGTCTGGCATTTTAGTGGCGAGGCGGCGGAAACAAAGGAGAGATGCGATGCCGAAAAAGCGAGTGCAGGCGATGTCGGCCGACAACCGCGACAACCTCCTGTCGCGCTGATTAGAAAAGCCCCTTGGGTCTCCTTGCGCAGAAATTGGCTCTTAATTGTGGCAGAAGTGAATTTGCCAGCAGCAGGATGCAATTAAGACATTCAGCGACTCCCGCTGCTACAGCTGCTGCTGCGATTTTCGCCCACTTAGCTGGACGTTTTGAGAAGCGCGTAGAGAGGCGCTTTTGCGCTTTGCGCTTTGCGCTTTCACGCTGCTCCCGGTAGGAAGTCCGTGTGCTCCGGTCCAGATAAGCGCCCGCTCATATTCAAATGCGAATATTAACTAATCTGGACGAATGGTGGGGCTTTCGGGGGTCGGGAATCGGGAATCGGACACCCACTCATCCGGACGGCTCTGCTCGCAAAAAAGGACAACGGGGAATATGCGTACGTGCTCGTGTGATAAATTCACATTTTCCGGCTGACAAGCGGCAGCCAGGACAATCGCCCCGGCATTGATAGACACGAGGTCGTGGGACGTGAAGCCAGGTGAAATGGCAGCCGTGAAACGTAGCGGAACGCCGGTGTCAAAAAGGAAGTGCCAACAAAAAAGCCACCAAAAAAATTCGAGCCACCAGCCACCGAAGTCGAGGGGTGGATGGGTGGTTTGGTGTGGTGCAGAAATAAGAGGCACTGAGAAGAGGGTGGCCACATTTTGTGCCTTTCTGACAGACGCAACTTTGAAATTGCTCTGATTATGCGGAGGGCGAGGACGAAGGACACGAGATTGGTGAATCGAGAATCGGGAATCGGGACTCGAGGTTTGGGTTTCGGGTCTCGAGACTCCGAGACTCGGCACTCAATGGCATGTTGACAATGATAACGAAGTTGGCCACGGCTCTCTGGGTACACTCAGAATCCCAACTTGGGAATTACAATTAGAAAATAATATTGTAGAAAAGAATATTTAAGAATAATAAACATAATAATGTGATTTATGTGTGAGAGCACAAAGCCATTTGATCACTTCTTCGATATAATCTTTTGATCACATTCTGAGAAAATTTCCCAAACTACCAAAATATCCCTTGTTCTCCAATCAAACATTTTTCCCAGTGTACTTTTGATGGGGCGATGGCGATGGGGCACAAAAACAAAAGCGCACATCGCCAAATATCAAATGTCGCATGCCGGCATTAATATTTCATGAGAAATCATAGTTTGCTGATGCGTATAATTCAAAGGAATTGCAATCTGAATTAATTTTTGAATGCCAAGCAGCCAGGTGGCATTTATATTGATTCGCTTTAGAATTTACATGGCTTGCCGCCCAATCGATTGATTGATGAGTGGGTCAGACAGTTCGATTTAATGGTGGCGGTGGTGTTTCTGCCCGGGATGCCGCTGCCACTGCATTTGGTGCTCCGATATTTGCGGATCGATTGCCAGAAGTTGCACAAAGAACAAAGTTTGGCGAACGAAACTCATTTATTTGTTTTCCGCCGTGACAGTTGAACCATGTAATTATACACAGACAGCCGGAGCTTCGGCTTCACTCTACCCACTCTGAAATTCCCATTCCCATTCCCATTCCGATTCCCTTTGGCTTCAGTTTCAGCTTCTGGTTTGGGGTTTCGGGGTTTCGGGGCGACTTATGAATTATGACAGTTTTGCACACCACGCACAACTTTTGGCCGGGCTTTCAAATAGAAATTATTAGAAAGTTTCCAGCGAAAGCGAAAGGGGGGACAGCTGCATGGCACGAGATTAGTGCAATTGGGAGTGGGGATCCGATTCGGATTCGTATTCGGAATCGGATCTCTTTGAGAAGTGAAAAATGAGAAATGGCTGGGGGCCACAATCCAAGGCGTTCCCATATTGAACGTTTTGAAGGTTTTCGTTGAGTTTTTGATTTATGTCTGTTTGCCAGGGGAGCAAAGTGGTAGTGGTGCTGGTGGTGTGGGTGGCTGTGCACTGTGGCATTGGGGATTATGTTTATAAATGGCACATATGGATGGGATGGAAGCAGATGCAGCTATGCGGCAATTGTCATCCGAACGTTTTGCTTTCTACACTGCTGAATTTTGTGCTATAACCATCTGATGAAGTTCTGGCAAGCCAAATGGTAATATATCCATTAGCATTCTGTTTACAAAAGAACCAACCAGTTGCTGAAGCTTTTATAATGTGTGATTTAATGTGGTATCAAATTTGACTTGAAATGCGGCAGCTCAATTTGATATGCTGTCGTCATATGGTTTCTTACTCTCTTTTCCGAAGTCATAGAATCTCCCAAAGAGACAATCCGGCGAACTGATTTTATTTGACATAAGTTTTACCAGTATTTCATGGTAAAAACGGTATGCGTATAAATACCAGAAATTTGCGAGGATCCCGATTTTTTTATGTGGAACTTTAAAAAAATAAAAAATATATACCTATAAATACAATAATTTAAAATTTGTTTTAATTAGTCTTTAATAAAATTGTTTGATATATTTTAATTATTTTTAAAAACTTTACTAAAGTAAATATATTTTTCTGCACGACCACCCCTCAGAAACCATTACATGTACCATTATTTTTTGTACAGCAAAAAGTATACCCCCAAAAGCTGTTTAACCATTACCTGCATATTTATCGCATCGAATTCAAGACATCGCACATTTCGCACTGCCAATTATTAATTGCGAATTTCGAGGCGGTGGGGCGTCGCATGAAAAACAATCTACCATCATCACGGCCAACTGGCCAGATGGAGGTTATTGAATTACATTAATGGCGGACGGTACGGGATTGGGAGGTCCTGGGAGGTGCCTTAAATGGAGCGCAGGGAATGGGGAACAACGTCTTGAGTCGCATAGTCGGATTCACACTTATACCGCCATCATCATCGCCACCATCGTCATCATCATCATCATCGTAGCGGGACAATCATCATTCATTCGTGCAATGTGGCATTCATTTATGCATTCATTCGCATCCTTCGCACTACCTGTCTCTTTCACTCCCCCGTCTAGCCATCTCTTTCTTGCCAGCCGCATCTCAGTCGCATCTTCGTTTATTCGCTCATTTAAGCATTCGTGTTGTCGTTTCAGTTTCAATTTGCCTTGGCAACATTTTCGCAAATGTCTTTTTAATTGATTCCCAGCGATGCGAATGCGAATAAGAGACGAAAGAGACGGGTGTATACGATTCGACAGAGGTGGGGATAGAGCGAAAGAGAGAGAGAGAGAGAGAGAAAGATCTACCTTACCGGCTGCCGAGTGTAATTATAAATTGAATTAAAAGGCGCACATTTCGTCTTTTAATTCTGCTTGCTGCTTGAGCTTAATTAAAATTTCATTATGTCTCTCATATATATTCCCTTCGCTGAAGGATGACTGCGAAATAAGGAGGAGAAGGAACTACACAGCGATATATGCACAAAATATATTTGACAAGCAGCTTTACGAGCGAGCAGTAAAAATACTTGTTCTCCATTAATGTTCGCCTAATGCATGCATAGTGGCACTCCTCCAAAAAACCCCCATATTATTATGCAAAAAAAGCAACAAAAAAGTACCAGAAAATACTGCCAACGAGAAGGGCTTACGAAAAAACAGAAAGAGAGAGTGAAATGCCAGCGCAACTTGTCGACATGAAATGTTGTTGTCATTCTGTCTGGCAATTGCCCCTCTTGTTGTTGCTACTGTAGTTTATCGTCTTTGGTCTATATACATACGACATACATATATGCATTTCCGTTGTGTTTTTGTATTATTTGCGAGTGTGTTGGTGTAGTTGTGCGGCTGTTGTTGTGCTGTTGTTGTACTGTTGTTGTACTGTTGTTGAGTTTATGCATTGCAGCATTGTTGTAACAAAGCATAGCATAGTTTTTAGCGCAAATCAAAATGATTGATGATGATGGCCGCTCTAGATCTTGCACCCCTCATATGAAAGGCCCCGCCCACCATGTCATGTCCTCCTGCTACAACAACAACACCCACACCAAACAAAAACAAAAACAATAGCTACATCCACTTGACAGTTATGGCTGCTGATATGCTGCAAATAAACTAAATAAATCCTCTTTTGTGTAATGTCATTTTTGTGCCACTTTGTTTTCAAGGCAAGCATGAATCATGCCGTGAATTTTTCACTTTCCAGAGAAAGCGAACACTGTCTATTTAAAATTTCATTTTCAATTCTAAATTGACACAGATCCCGAAAGTAGGCAACAAATCTTGGTGGTCCTGGAAAAGCACGAGGGTTCACCACATAGCACTTCATTAACTTCGTGGGCCTGCAACACAAACACTGGCGCACAAATTTGCCAATCGCTTGAGTGAAGGATTATTTGCCGCTTGCCCTTTTGGTGGAATTACCACCCACCCACCACCCTCTCCCGTTTTCCCCTCCATCCACCATATTAATATTAGGCATACTTGCACTGCAGCTGCTTGTGGTAATGAGTGGGTGGCTGGGCGAATTGCGACTGCGGCTGCCCCTGAGGTCGTCGCAAGCAGCAGCTGCAGCAAAACCACAAATTGTTTAGCATACACTCAAAAAAAAATTTTAGAAAATCGCCTATGGATTTGCTTTACTGGCGATTTTTTTCTATATTTCTGGAATATTTCTTGAATTTAATGAATTTTGATTAATTGGAAGAAAATTTTCTTTACCAGTAGAAAATTTTTTTATTTTAAGAAAAAAATCGCCAGTGAAGCAAATCCATAGGCGATTTTCTAAAATTCAGGGCGATTCATTTTCTGAGTGTATGTATGCATGCACGACGGGGCAGCCACGCAGCCACGCCCCCTTTCGCCGTCCCAACTCCTTTGGAGCGTTCTGCAGTTTGGACACGATAATAACGTTGACTTCTTGGCCAAGCCTAACCAATTAAACCGGTTATAATTTAAATGCTGTTTAATCTCTTAATTATAGTCTGATGTACACGATGCACAAATTGTTGTTTATAAATTAGCTTAGTCAGAAAAGATGCCACCAACTTTCAGGCCCATTGAAAAAAGGACGTCTATATCCTATAGCTTCCATTGGAACAATCGGATATAATTTGTATGACATTTCGCACAGTGTAGGAACAATAGGCTTAAAAACAGTTTTTTGAAAACGAAGGGCGGCAACTCTGCTGTATGTTTTAATGCTTTTTTTTATACCTTTTACTGTTTTCTTCGCTCAAAAAAAATTCTTAAAATTATTTTGTGCTTTTATGCAACTGTGCAAGAAATTTTTTTTTATATTTAACATTTTACATCAACAATTTTGAAAAATATTTAATTAAATAACGCTTTTCCTTCATTCAGGAGCTAGTTTGGCTATCTGATTGATCTTTGAGTTGTTCGTTATAAGTTTGCTGATCTGGCGCTATACGAATATTCAAATCCGTTTGCAATCGAGTTGTGGTGGCTACTCGAAATTCACGCTTTTCCTCAAGGCTCATTTTGCGCCAAAGGGAGGCGCCCTCCACTGTTAAGGCTCCTGGGTTGCATCTTTTGAATTCGCGAAGGAAATTATTGTAAGCCGTGTTGGGACGGCGCCTTGGAAACTGGTGGTTCCCCTTTGCCAATCGAATAGTGGATGCATTTTTCGGTGACACCATCACGCGAACCTTGACATTGAGGCGCTTTAGAGGTTTACGCAGCTCGTTGTTAGGTTTCTCCTGCTTTTTTGAATTGGTCATATCAAGCTTGTTGTTCTTCATTGTCTGTGCAACGTAGAAATGTCGATCTAAATAACTGTACGACTTTGCAATGTCTCAAATTTAAGAAAACAAATAATTACCTTGAATTACAGAGTGTGTCCGGGGTTTGTAACTGAATCTGAATGAATAAACTAGAGAAAAGTAAAGGCCAGGGTAACTGGGTCTTAGGCCTAATTATTTTTCCAAGATCACCCGGAAAGTGTCATGAACTTATTTATTATCTGTTTAAATCAGTATGTATTTTTGGTGTAGGGCCAAGTTACAGCAAATAAACCAAAAGAAAAAATTCCAATTTTTGTCAAAAACTAAAATCCCGAATTCCCAAAAAAAAAAACAAAACCGGTTTTTTCGCTAAAACAAAGCAAATACTGATTCAAAGTATGGATTGTCATACCTTTCTGAAATCGTTATTAAATTTCCTAACGATTGGCATTTAAACCTTGACATTATATTTATTTTTAATTTTTTGCAAAAAATCATCAAAATTTTATTTTCCCCAAATCACACGAAAAGTGTTCTGGATTTATTGATAATTTTGTTATCTGTTCAAAACAGTATGTATTTTTGGTGTATGACCATTTTTAGCCGAGTTACAGTCAAAAAACAAAAAGGAAAAATTCAAATTTTTACCAAAAACCCAGATCACAATTTTCCACATAAAAAAAAGAGAGAACGCTATAGTCGGGTGACCCGACTATCGATAAACCTAGTAACGTAACGTAATACTCACAAACATATCTAGTAGGCTTTTGCTTTTAACTTCAAGCTCACTACAAAAAAGGTAGGCCGTTGACTTTTCCTTCTAGTCGACACTAGAACATTCGTATTCGTACAGTCAGGTCGTCAGCTTTAACTAAGTCGTTACAAAATGATCCAGTTTCTTATTTTCGCGGTTGGACCAATGCTAGTGGCGCTCATCTACGTCTTCCTTAATCTCCCATCTTTGTATAAAAAGAATCGCGAGTTTAGACGGATAACAGAGGTCCTAGTCCTGGAACAGAAGATCAAGCAAATGGTTCAAGCTGGCCGAAAGGAAAACCCCCATGACGAGGAGCTGGTGGAGATTGGCCAGCAGTTCCTGGCGAACTTCCGAGCGGACGTCATCGACCAGTTTAAGAGAGAAGCTGGAAAGTAATTCCGGCCAAACGGTACGTCATTGTTAATCGCCATTTCTGTGGCTGACATTACCTTTATATCCGAATATAGCACATAATGGATGGAATTTGAAGATTGGAGTCGCATCTCGGACATCGTTTTGTTCCCAGCCGAGGGACCGATTCCTTGAGGTAGCACCCTTCCATCCAGCTATTTATATCGCCGATTAAATGCAAACCACTTAATTTCGTTGTTTTATTATTACGCAACTGACTGACTGATGTACATTTATATTGCGGTGAAAACTTTAGGGACTTATAGTACAACAATAATAATTATAAATGTATAAGCAAATATATCCCGGTTTATCTCAGTTATAACCTATAAAGAAAATAATACTACTAAATAAATAAATTTCTACTGTCCAGCCCAAACCGGAAGACTTGTGATTTGACTTTCATTGCTTTACCGACTGTTATACAAGACGGGCCAAAGCGTTGTATTTTTGAGCTATTATTTCCTTTGTTGCGGCAAAAAAACTGATATTTAAGGGTGGAAAAATGGATTTGAATTTTAGACAAAAATAAACTTTTCCCCCGGTTTTTTAGCCGTAATTTGGACAAATCAAGGCCGACAGCTAAGGGAGCGACTGTTTTGAACAGCTAACAACCTAAACTAACGATCCCCATCTTTTTTGGAAAAACTAAATTTTTCACCAATTTTCGCATTTTGGATAAGGGGTCACATCATGATTTTTTGCTAAAAAATCAAAAATCAAAATGTCCAGATTTGAATGCAAATCGATTCACATTTTAGCTACGAGTTTAAAAAGGTATGACATTCCATTTTTGGGCTATTATTTCCTTTGTTTCGGCAAAAGAACTCATATATTTGAGGATGGAAAAATTGATATAAAATTTAGACAAAAGTAATCTTTTTTCGGTATTTCAGCCGTAATTTGGAGAAATCAAGGACGTTGCAACGCCGAGCTGAGCTATTAGGGGAAAGGCCCGAAACCCGTTGTCTGCGTAGCAATCTGTAGGCACTTTGCACTAAACATAAATTTCCCAGCAGTTTGACACGACACGGAGAAAACTCAAATTATATGCGAGTACATGGAATGGGCGTGTGTGTGTGTGTAGTGTGGCTGTATGAGGTGTGCACACCTACACGCACACCCACATCCACCCACTGACACACTGACAGCCGTGCGTGTGTGTGTGTAGAGCAAGCCTTCAAATTCAAATTCCCCCGGGGACTTTGGCAGAGTGCAATGTCTGTCAACACTAATTGTTGGCTCCTGCTCAGCCGCCCGGCTGCTGTCTTTTGCTACAATAATGTCGTGTGTTCTCGTGGCTGTAGATGTATTCCGGTGTCAGGACCCTCCTTCACTCTCCACTTCTCCTCTAATACCTCCTGTTTCAGTGCCCTCCATCCGCTGTCCACAGCCTGGTGTGTTAATCCAGCTTACTAGTCCGTACACTCGGGAAAACCCACAAGCTACTGGCTAACAAAACGATATTAACAGCACTGAAACCTCTGGAATCTAATATGTAAAGATTGCGGTACTATACGTATTGAATCTACAAATGAAATATATATAAGACTCCCAGTTAAGTTTATTAATCAGCCCCTTTAATAGCTAAAGATTTTAAAAGCATTATTATTTCTGCCTAAAAGTAGGCGGGGAAATTTTAAATTCGGAATATGACTGCTAATAATAATAATGAATAATTTTCTTTAACAAAATACAGCTGATTTTATAAGAATTTCGAATTTAAGATGCATAAATGTAGATCAATAAATATTTTACGGTGCATACATAAAACATTGGTTAACCAATTTAGTCCGTTTTTTTCGCCCTGTAGACTTTGAGGCGGAAGCAACTATGTCCTGGCATCGGCTTTAGCTTCGCTGCCACCCAAATAGCTCAATTTTGGCGGCGAGGACAAGACAAATACTTTGGGGTTGGACTACATAACACTAGTACTAGTACTAATACTAATGCCACCTCGGGCCGGGTGTCTAATTAAATTGGGTCAAACCAGTTAACTCACTTGTCTTTGGATTACGTTTGCATCTGACTTAATCTCGGTGGTGATGCCGGAGTACTGAGCCTCATGCATATACAAATACACATGTACGTTCCCCCCACTTGTCGCAAAAATTGCCTTTCCCGAGGACGAGAGCGAGGACCTGTAACAAATTGCTTTCAGGCTGTGCCGCTGCTGTCCTCAAAATCAAATTATTGTCCTGGTCTCGCCCTTCGGTTAGCTCCGCACATCCGCACACACTGAAAATATTGTCTTTGGCGAGTTTATTAAAACTTTCCACTTTCCACCACCGACCAAAATCGAGACTTGGACTTGGTCTCTGGAAACTTTTGACCTGTTGCTGTAGCAAACTGACTTTGAGGCACTGCAACTCCTCCAGGAGCAGCGGGCTCGGGCTCCACCCACTCGCCTCGTCCTTCGTCCTTGCAGAAAGTTGGCGGCCAAGTTTGCAGCGCTTCTTGGCTAAATTGTGTAATTAATTGGGAATGCCAAGCTGGGCAGGACAATGCTGGACCTTGGGCTGTTGGCGTTTTAAAATTCCATCAATTAAATTCCGGCCACTTCTTTGGCTCCTCTCCATGGGCTCTCCGAAATAACAGGCTTGCATTTTCTTTGACTCTTTGAACCAGATTACTGGTGTTTAAATATCAACCCTTTTTAGGATTTTTTAAAAACTCCCAAAAAACCTTTATTATCGATTTCATGTTGTGTGGTATCCATTTTGACTTGATATGCGGGCACCTCAATTCGATATGCTCGAAATGTAAGCAACTATTTCTCGCTCCCACTCACGTATGCAATACCAGAAATTTACCATGCGCATATCGATTTGAGCGCAACGTGTTTTTTTTTGTGTGTAGACTTACGATTATGATTATTTCACTCAAAATGCATTTTAAATTGTACTAAAAAGTTGAATTAAAATCAAATTTAAAATTTTCTTCCAATTAACAAGACATTTTTGCTTGAATTTCTTTTCAGCCCTAATGAAGCTAATAAACTATTCCGCAATCACAATCGAATTTCCGGGACAAATCTTTTTGCCACCGCACACATATGCGAAAGTAACTAGGTCACTTAACTTTAATCCGTTTTGCTTAAAGAAGTAATCGATACTAAGCACAAGGATTATAAATTTGACATGTGGCACGCAGAGGAATTCGAATAATCGCAGGACACGAGAAGCAAGCTCCCGATGCAGATACAGATTACGGATACCGATTTAATTTGCCACAACAGTAAGCCGCATAACATCGTTCTTCTTTCTTCGAGGAGCCCGGAATTCGCAACTCGGAGGCAAAACAAACTTGTCTAATCCAATGAAAACAAGCAGCTCAGCTGCGATTGATAAGGGCAAGTCCGACTCTAACTAGGCAACCGAGGCGAATCTGCAGCCCCCTTCTAAGAATATATGTGTATTTATATCCTGACAACCGCTTAGTTCATTTGACTGCTGCCAGGACGACAAGGACAAGGACAACACTTTGGCAATAATGTCGTCCGGTTTTTGGCTTTAAGTCCCCGGCTTTGCCTAGTAAATACTTTGCAACCGGCTTCAGAATGTCCAGCTTAAGTGAGTTGGAGTTTGCTGATTTTTGGGTGCTCTCCGGGGGTGCAGCTAAACTGAGGTGACAACATTTTGCCAAGTGCAATCTACAGTAAAATTGTATGCATAATTTCCGTTATGACACTTGCGGTGCACACGAACACACTCGTTTGACGAGAGGAATGTATTTGCAGTTAGATGCATAGATAGATGTGGTTACACATTCCCATACACTGGCAGAAGATAATAATAATAACTTAAAATAGGAATTTTACTCGCACTATATTTCGAATATTTTAGGTAAATATAATATGAATAAAAAAAATTTGGAAAAAATATAAATATATCAAATAAATAATTTACTATTTTAATAATACTTTTTTATAGATTTTTTAAAGATTTTTGATAAGAACATTTTTGGTTTTGATTTATTAAAAATTTATGTTTGTATCAAAACAAATCAAATACCCTTATTTTCAAGTGCATGTTTGTTTTGCTTCGAGATCTGTAAGCAAGTGGACCAGGAGCTATGGCAAAATACCAGAGATGCCTGCAGGCGGCACACTAATTTATGTTATCCTTACCATTCCACTGAGGCCACACAAAAGAGGATATATATGTGGAAATCAGAGTCGCAATACTCTGAAGTAATTACAAATTGCCCGGCTCGAAGTCACAGCCAGATCCCACAATTCCTTATCCGGAAGCTAGAATCCAGACTACAGAAGCCCAAATCCCGAGTCCCGAATCCTGAATCCCAGACCCCAAACCAGTTGATATCCCTTAAATCCTTTTAATGCCCGCGCGCAGCCTTTGATTTTTGCAATATCAATTAGCGTAAAACGCGTAGGCCGCCAAAAACTGGCGAAAAGGGGTCGGGGGCATTACAGCCCATAAGGATTTACAGCTGCTGATTATTTCATTAGGCGAAAGTAAATTTAAACGCCAGCCGCACGTTAAATTTATGTTAATTTCCAAAGGGCTGCCAGCCAAAAAGGATGCGAAAATGGCATAGACAAGGAGCAGGAGTGGGGGAAACTGAAACTGGAACAGACAGCCGGGGAAATGGAGATGCTAACGGGGGAAAATGGGGTGAGCGTAAAGGGAATAGGTGGAAAAACTTTGTTACAGTGTATGCATAATTGTATCTTGATTGTATATAGTATATTCTTTTTTTAGTACATTTTATTGTATCTTAAAATTAACCTAATAAAAATAATCATATTTAATCTTTATTAAAATCATGCCAAGTTAAATTAAATAATCTAAAACAGCAATGGATATTTATGAAAAATGTTTTCCAAGTGTAATCAAATAAGTAATACTGCGTTCTGAAAACCTTTTCGAGTCTAATCTTTATAAATACTCTTTTACAGAATTAATAGGTCATTAAATAATATAGAATAGCTTAAAAAAGTTTACTAAATGTGATTATATAATTTTATCTGCGTTCTGAAAGTCTTTCCAAGTAAGTGATAAATTCAAAAAATCCCTAAAAATGATAAATTCAAAATTTAAAAAAGGAATTATTTTTGTAAACATTTCATCTAAACGGTTGAAACGTCATCTGAAAAATTCCCCAAAATTACTATCTTCTTTTTAGACATGCCCATATGCTGCAGATGGACCGTTGCCAAGCCGAAGAGCACACACAATTTCCAGATAGATAACTTTCCTCGAATTTAATGCCATGCATATCGACATATCGACTCACTTGACACACATACACGCACTTGTTGTGCTCGGATTTACTGATCGACCGGGAATATCCATCCCCCGGGCATTTCTAGTTCGCCAGTAATAATCCATTAATTAACAACAAATTTGTGTTGATTGTCCGGCGACCAAAACAGAAAACAAAACAGTGAGACGGCGAGACTGAGAGAGAGAGAGAGAGACCGTACGATCAGGTGCCGTCGGCTATAGATTATATAGCCTACCGATCTGTGGCCTGACACTGGTTGGCACTCGTCACCGATCCGGTATCGCACCGATTCCCATACCGAACCCATCCGATTCCCCTGACCATTTCCCGGACCCGGCCACCAAAAACCAAAAACCCCGGCACATGTGTCGCCGATCAATGGCAAACATCTGGCGGAGTCGCATATGTAGATATATGGATGGCTATACGTTTATCTCGGCCGGACTAATGAAGCCGGCAGCGCGTTAGATACGTTGTACGCCGGCTAATTATTCCCCAAGGGATCCTGGATCCGAATCACTGGAAGCAATCGAGCCACGATCGCAGTGAGTGCATCGCTGGGTACCCAGTATTTTACAGAGGTCGTTGGGAGTACTGGTTTTTCAAGAAAAGTATTTCGTTTAATTGTATTCATTTAATGTAACAGGGGAGACCTGACGCTTTTTGATTTTGAAAATCCTATTAATAAAATTAAAAATCCTATTATTAATTAAGATTTTTTCTAATTATCCCCTCAAATTACGTGGCATCTATATTTAATTATAAATTTATATTCACACTAAATAAGTTATGATTTAAACGTATTTTAGTTTTATAACAAATTGGTTTTAAACTTTATTTTAAGAAAATCAAAGTTTTTGTATAATATATCCTAATAAGTATTTCTTGGCATTTAGGTAAATCACTTTTATTGTTAATATTCTTTTAATATTTTAGAATAATATTTTTTAACATTTTTTAACTGTTTTAAAATATTTTAAAAATTAATTTTAATTTGTATATTTTGTTATATGTTCAAAAAGCGGTCAATGATAAATCTGAGAACAGGGCATCTGTTAGTTTGAACCCCTGCGATTACTGCCTAGATAGGATGGCTCTCGTCAATTTTTCTGACGCTTGTCACTCAGCCGGAGTGTCCGTGGATATTATAAATATTTGGACACTCGGCCGTAGTCCGCTCATTTGCGATCATGGACTTCTTTGCGACAGGCGGATTCCAGCAGCTTTACAGCGACTTGGACGAGGAGCCGCTGGCCGGCGGCGATGCGCTGCTCAATAATGCCGCCAGTGTCGTGGACTTTGAGTGCCCCTATGCCATCGATAACATGGATAATAACATGGATAACCATCTGGACTTGGAGGAATCGGATTACTATGGCATCATCACGCTGGACAGCAATAATAACAACAGCAGTGGCAACAACAATATTCACGTGGAGCTGCCGTTCACGGAGGATCCCTCGTTGTTCATAGACTTCAGTGATCTGACCGTCTGTCCGCCGGATTTGAGTGACTGGGAGCAGCGGCTGTTGGACAACTATGTGGAGATTCCGGAACTGGTGGACTTTCTGCCTGAGCGGACGCCCCTGTGCACCGATAACTGTGCGGATTTTCTGGAGGAGAGCAACAGTAACCTTCGGCTGGCGGCGCCACCGCCTGATCTTCAGTCGCCCGGCAGTGGTAGTTATCCCGCCAGTCCCGCGGATGCCCCAGCCGCCCCTCCTGCCCTCCAGTTGAGCGAGAATGCCGCCGGCGAAAGGGGCTATCTGTGCACCTTCGGCAACTGCGAGAAGATCTATGCCAAGCCGGCGCACCTGAAGGCCCATCTGCGGAGGCATCTGGGCGAGAAGCCCTATGTCTGCAGCTGGCCGGAGTGCGTCTGGCGGTTCTCCCGATCCGACGAACTGGCCCGCCACAAGCGCTCCCACTCCGGGGTGAAGCCATACAAGTGCGACTACTGCTCCAAGTGCTTCGCCAGGTCGGATCACCTCACCAAGCACCGGAAGGTCCACGAGCGGCGACTGCTGGCCGCCTCCAGAGCGGGCAGACTCATCTCCGACGACCTCTATGCCGTGCGACCGGGTCGAAAGCGAAAGAACCAGCTATAGATATTAAAGATATTTTTTAGATCTTGAAGAATCAGCTTTAGCGTTTTTTTTTTAATTACTTAGCTTAGGTTACCTTAGGATAAGGGCCTCTTATTTTATTTTTTAGTTAATTATAAAACTAAAAAAAAAGCCAAAAGGTGATATGAATTATTAAACTAACTGGTTTATCAATTTTGCACTGCATTAATATTTATGTTTTTCAAAAGCGTCTGATTAAATTACGAAAATCATAAACCGATGATTAATTCATTTAAGTGAGCCCATGATTTAATTAACTCATTACAAAGCATTAATCGAATTTATCAATTTGATGAAATAAGTTCAATTTGCGCAGCACGCGAATAAATTTTTATAATTTTCTTTAGTTGCGAAACAGCAGGCTGTGATTAAAATTTAATAAATTTAATAATCACGCTTCATACATAAAATCCAGTAGATAACGAAGAAGTAATGACCAAGGAATATGCATCGTTTTATATTTAATATTTTAGAATACAGAAGCAGCCATAGCACAGAACATCATGTCCATCTAGAAATGATCCCCTCGTTTCCTCTTGTTTTTATGATGTAAAAAATAAATAAGTAAAAAATATAGGGGCGAAAATAAAGGAAGTGCATGAGTACAGCAGTGGGTAGTGTAGGGTAGTGACAGTCGGAGAAAGGACTCCGCCGCATCCTTTATGCGCTGTCATATCGCATACTTTACGGCTTTCAGGGCGAGTGCTTTTGTACATTTGAAGTGAATTTACAGCGCAACTTGCCTGTATAATGGCATTTACTTTATGCAAACATTCGCCGAGGAAGAGGAACACAGCCTCAAGGAGTCCCGCAGCAGGATTCAGCATCAGCAGCATCAGCAGCAACAACAACAACAATTATTGCCCCACTCATTAAGGCAAACGGCACTGCACTGCTCTGCACAGGACCTCCTGCTTATTCGAAAGTAATTAGCATAAAAATAAATACCACTCATTAAGTCATGTTGTTTTTATCTATTTACTGTTTGATATTGCCGTCGTCGGAGTCGTTGTTTTTGTTTTTCTTGTTGTTCTTGCTCGTTTTTCTGTTGGTGTTGATGTCCTACCCCCATTTGCAGTCCCCAGTCGCCGAGCGAGGGGAAGTCCTGGTGGCAGGACCTCCATTGAGACGACAAGAGGGGGCAACTGGGGTTATTTGCATAGATGCAGCCACTGTGGAACTGGTTCAATTAGCCCGAGAGTCTGGCTTCGGTGAAGAGGGTGTTGAAAATTGAGCAAATAGGTAGCTGCAAGTGGGACATTAAACACATATCGATCCCAGAACAGCACATGCATTTTCTATATTTTTTATTTATTTAACAAATACAAGTTTTAGATAATTGTGTAATTATAAGGTTAATAATTTTCATTAAAAATAAAAGGGATACTTCAGACTATAAGAGACGGTTTGTTAAAGGATTACCAAATTAATAGACCAATTAATAAATTCACCCAAAACAAAACTTGATATGAAACGATGATCAATTCGATATTATGTGTAGTATTGCTTCTAATAAAATTGCCTATTAATAATATTAAACCAATCTATAATACTTGTAGCAATAATTCTGTGACAAACAATAAATAATACACTTTTACCAAATTCGTTAATACTATTTTCAACTCATCCGTACTCCACACATAGAAAAAATATGTTCTCAACGCTCTAAGCAAAGGTAATCCCATACCTAAAACCTTTGATAAACTGCTTCGAATGAATCGCCGCAAAGGAAAGAAACTGAGCCACTTTTTGTGCCATGGACATCCGATAAGTTGTCTTCAGTATCCAGTATCTATATCTGCAGGAAGCTTGCCGCTGGCTTATGGATAAATTTGCTTTTTGTCGCAGCTCTAGCTGGAAAATTCCGATTGCAATTTTAATTAGATGCCATACACACATGCAGTGAAAGGAAGAAAGCAGTGAAAGCATAACTTCTTGTGCGCTCTGTGGGATATATCCGTTGTAATGGAGGTGCAGATACGACCATATATCCCATATATGTATGTATATATCGGTTAGCAGATACTTCAATGGTGTGGGCGAAAGACAAAGCGCGGTGTAGTAAGAGAATTCAATTAAATGTTCATCAAAAACTACAAGAAAAAGTGTTGCGTATCTGTATTTGTGTCTGTGGATGTGGATGGAGGGATCCAGAACAAAGGATACGGCTAAGGACAATGACGGGGAGGCGGGGGGCTGGGGAATCAGGACCTTGATGACGCGACGCCAACGCCTGTAACTGTGGCCCTCTGACTTGTCTCTAAATGCCAAACGGGGCGCCGTAAGGGGGTTTTTAGGGGTTACAAGCTCCCACAAAAATATTATTGTATTTTGAACTAAGACTACCGAATGTAAAACATATAAGCTAAGTTTTTCAACCATAATTATATGATTTAATTTAAGTAGCTTGTAAATTTGAAAAAGTAAATACCGATGTATGTAGAGAAATTAATAATTAAATCAAGTAATTATAATAATTCTTAAAATATATAATACCATATTCCAATATATTTTAAAATATGAAAAAAACAAGAAAGGAAGCTAGCTTCGGCCAACCGAAGCTTATATACCCTTGCAGATCATTCCTATTAATTAACAAATCGCAAAAATGTTCAATTTTCTAATATTTCTCATTAATTTTCCGATCGTTCCTATGGCAGCTATATGATATAGTCGTCCGATTTTGATTCAATTAAAATTGAAATTCGGAAATATTTAAAAAGAGTCATATCCTAGAGTAGAAGATAATACAATAAAAACCAAAGAAGCTAGAATTTATTTCCTATTACTTTTCCATTAATTTTCCGATCGTTCCTATGGCAGCTATATGATATAGTCGTCCGATTTTGATTCAATTAAAATTGAAATTCGGAAATATTTAAAAAGAGTCATATCCTAGAGTAGAAGATAATACAATAAAAACCAAAGAAGCTAGAATTTATTTCCTATTACTTTTCCATTAATTTTCCGATCGTTCCTATGGCAGCTATATGATATAGTAGTCCGATTTTTTAAATAATTAATTCGAAATTCAGATATATTTAAAAAATAACATCCCCAAAAGTAGAAGGTAATATTTCAAAAAACACCGAAGCTAGAATTTTTTAAAGTTTTTTTTTTCCGATCCTTCCTATGGGAGCTATAATATATAGTTGTCCGATCCGGTCGGCTCCGACATATATACTACCTGCAATAGAAAGAAGACTTTTGGGAAAGTTTTATCCCGATAGCTCAAAAACTGAGAGACTAGTTTGCGTAGAAACAGACAGACGGACAGACGGACAGACGGACAGACGGACATAGCTAGATCGACTCGTCTTGTGATGCTGATCAAGAATATATATACTTTATGGGGTCGGAAACGTCTCCTTCACTGCGTTGCAAACTTCTGACTGAAATCATAATACCCTCTGCAAGGGTATAAAAATGTTGTAAACATGATTGAAAAAATAATGGAATTGCCAAAAATGCCTACATTTTAAATCTAAAAGATTATAAGATCCCTTACGTTTTTTATTTCTCCGCTCGCCCCTGAAAGTATCCCTGTATCCCTGCATCTGTATGCGTATTTCTAACAGTGTGTCTGTGACTTGGCTGCTGTAATCAGCAGAAGAAGATGGAGAAGAAGAAGTCGGTGGAAGAAGCAGCAGAGGTAAGGCAGCAGGAAGAGCACAAAAGTTATAAAATACCAGATAGATAGTAATTGCAACAGTTCTGTCTTCCGTCCCGCTCTCGCCGACTCTCTCCGTCTCTCTCTCTCTGCCCCGATAGCCCCTCTCTTTCTGGCACTGTGTGTCTGACTGTGGGGCTGGTGAAAATAAGCAGGAAACTGGAAATTACAAATGATACGGAAATAATGCGATATCATGAATCATTTTTACGAGAATCGAGACTTTGATTCTCAGGGGCAAACGATTGGCAAGGGGATCCGCAAGATGAGCTTCCACATATACTAAATATATATATATGTATATTATATAGGGAGGGGGATATAAAACAGCCCCTGAAAGTGCAGACTTGTGGCCTCAGCTTGAGTTTGTGTCAACAAATTTGCATTGCATTGGGCGACCAACTGGCGGCGACCACACAAATAATGTCAACAGCATTTCCACTCATCAATAAGTGAAATACATAAAAAAAAAGATGGAAAAAAGAAAAGGGACAGTTGTGGAAATTCAGGGCGCATCGGGTTCCGTTCCGGCTCCTTTTGGCGTCCATTTCCCGAGGAGTGTGGAAAAGCTGAAGGCTGGCATATTTATTTTCCCGCCCCGCTCCCTTTGTGCGGCTGTCGCATTCTTGATTTAGCAAATTGACTGCCATGAAAATGCGGAAAACTTGCGGAAAGTTGCCAGGCGATTTAAGCGCAAAGGAATTCGACTCAAGTTCTTCGGCCAGGTATTTCCACGTAGTTAAAAGCGTAAAGGAAAAAAAATGCCACAGAACAGGTCGACGATTGGAATGCCAAAAGACTGAATCAAAAATTATTTTAATCAAATATGGGTATTTTCTCTCACTGAGGAATCTTTTCTTATTGTTATTAAGAGCCTTTGAAAAATATGTTCAGTATTTGTTCTTGCAATTTTTTAAGACAACTAAAAGAGTCATCCAACATTTAACATTTGCCTTTATCTGATTGATCCCGATTTAAATATGACATACCTGACACTTTAAGGCATTATCAAACACCACTGATTTAATTTAATAGGGAAAAAGGTAAAGTAACCGATTCCCAAAAAAGGGGGATATGCACAAGCCCTCGTTGAAACTCAAATCAGCTCAAATCGCAGCATAAAACTTGGCCAAAAACTTAAACCGTGTTCAGCGGGGACGAAAAAAGGGGGTTACACCCGAAAACCAAAAACTCTCGACTCAACTCAACTCAACCGAACTGAACTCTACTGAACGGAATCTGCAGCTCGGGTCCAGAGATAAAGTCAAATACTTGACAAGTCACAGGTAACAAGTATGAACTTATGAAGTCA